AATTAGGTTAAATGACAAAGGACAAAATAAATATACATTTAGACAACAAAATCGCAACATCTTCACAAACAGAGCTAGCAATCTAAGTCATTGAAACTATTGTTCAAAAATTCGTTTAGTGAGTAGAATGCTCGACGTTTTAAATATTCCTTTACACTAGCTTTGAATGATAGTGAATCTAAGTTTTTAGTTTTCGTGGGTAATGCATTATAAAACTTCATCCCATAATATGATACGCCATCCTTTGTTTTATTGAGCCTATGAAAAGTTATGTAAATGTGTTCTTTGTTCCTTGTGTTATAACTATGCAAATCCTGTTTTACAGTTTGTGAAACTATGTTCTCTTTAATATAGAGTAGGCATTGAAGTATATATGTACAAGGGAGTGTCAAGATACCTAGCTCAACAAATCCACTCCTACAGCACTCTCTGTACTTGATATTTTTTATTATTCGGATACACTTCCGTTGTAAGGCAAATAAAGTATTTGCATGTTTCGAATGGCCCCATGCAAGAATTGCATATGATAAAATTGAATGAAAAATGCCATAATAGGCTGTAATTACAGTTTCCATTGAAGCAACTCTTTTAAGATTCCTGATAACAAATATAGCTTTAGATAATTTAGCACTTTGAATAGCTACATGTCTGTTCCAAGTTAGATGTGGATCTAACGTTACTCCCAATATCCTAAAATCTGAATTTTGATTAATGAATTTTTGTTTCCTTAGCGTTAGTGTCATGGTTTGTGTCTTTGATGCATTTAAAGCGCTGTGTTGTTTGATTTTACCCATTTATCAACTCTTCCTATAGCTAACTTCATGCACTCATTGATTTCTTCTTCACTATCAAATTGTTTAATAAGAGAAGTGTCATCAGCAAACATAATGTGGTCGGTGTATAGGTCACAATGCGGAAGATCATTAATATATATAAGGAACAAGATGGGCCCCAAAACAGATCCCTGTGGCACACCGTGCTTTAATTGTGACAATTTTGAAACACCATTATCGTAAATTACATACTGTTGTCTATTTGATAAATAAGAGTGGATTAACTGTGCACTTTTGTTTCCAAAGCCATAATTTCTTAGTTTATCGATTAAGATTTTATGTGATACGCAGTCAAATGCTTTGGTAAAATCAAGACCTGCTAAACTAATGTATTTTTTATTTTCAAATCCTTTCATAACTGTTCTTGCTAAATTACTCACAGCCAGAGCAGTAGACTTTCCTTTTCTAAACCCAAATTGCGATTGACTAATTATATGATGCTCCTCGAAATAAGTTTCCATTTGAAGTTTTAAAACAGATTGCATCGTACTATACACAAAATTCGGTCGTGATTATACAATCTGAGATGCTTAAATCAAATGTAAAGTGGCATTTTGCTCATGAAAAAACTAAGTAATAAGCGAAAAAATTAGCAACTGTAGGGTAGTTAGAATTTCACCTGTTTTTATTCTTGGCTAAAACTCGATTTACGTCTTAGAGATTCTAGCTTTTCTTCTTTCGGAGGTTCCCCTGTATGCTACGTAAGTATATAGCGTTCATTAGCATTACCTCAACTAAAAGTAATGTTAGTCCACTTGTCGTACAGTACAGGTAAGGTTTCAAATGCCTATCGCTGTATTAATACCTACCTACACACTTAATCCAATTTCGAAACATTAGTTATATAGGTCTGTCTTAACATGCTTATTTAGTATCATCTACAGTGTACACTTACTCGTATACAACAACCCGGTAATGCTTCTTTATTTTTATTAAGTTGTGTTATTTCAATCGTGAATTGTAGTCGGCTTTTGACATTAGACTGTTATTGTGGTTGTTTGCGATGAACTTTTACATCGTTTGGGAGTGTAAATTTAAAACTAATAGTTATTTACATAAAAGTCCAGAAAATGATGGCGAGGAAATATTAAGTTGCGAGGCCCCTTCGGGGCCGAGTACTTTAATTTCCGAGTCAGGTGATGTCATTTTACTGACGAATTTTGTATTAAATTTTACTCGAAATCGTGTTTTAATATAAAATTTCAATTTTTATATAGAACTTTTGATTATCGTCAATCTGATCATGATGACAGGAGTCATTATAGACATTTGGAAATGTCACAAATGCGACCGGTAAAGTGACAGCGGCCAGTAAAGTGACAAGCGGCAGGAAATATTGCAGAGCCTCTGTCATGGAAACTGAAATTTCCTGACAGAAAGTAGGCATGAAAATGAAGGTTTCAGGACGATTTTGGGTAAAATAATTTTTTGTTTATTTCATCTCCTTTTCTCCGCGAATTTGTCTATTTTCGAAATTCAGGATCCAATATCGTATGACAAGGTGCTTGGTTGAGTACAAAAACCAAGCTCCAGCGTTCCATCGTAACCATTTCGTAAAATGCTGTTTAATTTCGTTATAGAAATCCGCCGAACTTTTCTTTTCAATGAAATATTTGCGACATCCTACTGAAAAACCGTTTTCGCTGACGATGTCAAGTATAATAACCCTTTGCCCAGCTCCAAGTGAGTTGATTCCTCCTCAGTGCCCATTTATTTCTTGAATGGCTCCTCGATATTGGACGACGCTAGCTTTCCAGGATCATAAGTTCCACTCATTTTTTAATGGTTCGTTCCACACCATGCTTCGTCAGTAACCTACCTTTTAATGGCGCACAGATATTGTGCACTTTTAGTAATTATTGGATTCACTTCCATTAAAATTGTTCTTCAATTTTCGGAAGGAAAAGTTCATTTCTGTTACCCTTTTTTTTTCAAGATGTATGATAAATAAACTATTTATGGACAGATAAAGTTGAGCATTGTAAAGACAAATCGATATATCCTTATCTCGGTCCTTTTTACACCATGTAGATCAGTAACGAAGCGTTTGTGGATCTATATTTATATAAAGTTTTAGTCATAAAATAATCCACGGCATTAACCCCCTCCGTATTAGGGACACACTGAATAGTAAAACTTGAAACTTGTATTACAACCCAAATTTCATCAAAAAAGTCCCCACCGATTTTGAGATTAGCTTTTAGAGTGAGTGAACTAGACTTTTTTCTACGATTGTAATTGATTAATTAAAGGTTAATATAATTATGATATTTAATTACTTCTCAACATGTTTTTATATTTATTTTGGTAGCACTTTTGTATTTAGATTTATAAAACTCAATGTTGAAAAAGTTGGAGGTACTCTACTGTAGAAATACAAATACAGAGCAAACAAAAACCGAGATGATATCATTCTCGAGTTCGATCTTTTATTTCCGAATTAAAAGAAAATACGTCAGTGTAGAAGTGATTGCTTGTACTACTTGGATTGTAATCCAATATACTTTCAATCAGTCTTTGAATGACAAATCACAGCTTTCAGTTATAATTTATTTTTTATTCATATCTACGGATTTTTCAGATGTTCGTGTTAATGGCGACAATTTTTCTAGACGTTGATTTCGTATTTGTTACAAATGTTTTTGTCCCGCTAAAGTTTTTTACGAGATCAATACAGTCGTATGTTTTTCACAAACACCTTACCTCATATATTTTCTAGAATGCGCTTTAATCTTCCATCGCTATTGGTACTTTGTCGGAGTGGAACATCTTTATTTCATGCTCTTTCTAAATTCACTATTCCTTTGGTGATCACCAAAGGGATTTCAATGTAAAATTCCTGATACGTAATTCTTTCTCCCGTATTCGTTCAACTGATTTTACGGAAAAAATGTTTTAAGATCGAGATTTAAATATAAATATGGTGTTTCCAAGGATCTATTTTAGAGCCTTTGTTTTTTATTACTTATATAACGCTTTTTCGAGACTACATGGCGTATTGACTTCTAAACAATATGCAGCACAACTCATGAACGATTGGCGAATCGCCATGTTTGGGCAGGCAATTTTGTGAATCAAATTCTTGGGCCGATATTACTAGAAGAGAATTATTTATTAGGGAAATTGTATCAGATCCCAAAATCTCTGGAGAGTCAAGTAGATGACAATGGGAGAACACGTTGGCCTTTACAATCGGCCTACTGATGCGTGCTATTTTTAAGGACTTAGTAACTTGTAACTTAAAAGGTTATATATAAAATAAGGATTACTACGCTACTACTTCTGTTCTGAAAGTTTGTTGAAAGCTTTGTGACAGATATTAAATCTTCTTAGCAGGACTTTACATATCTTTCATCATAATTGAATTTTAATGCACATGCGGAAAGTTTGAAGCTTCCTCTCCATATGAAATGTTTTAATAAAACCTGAGCCCTACCTTTAATAATCAATTTAATAATGTAATGGAGCGTATAATTTCAATACGTTATAGAACCTTTAATTACCTATAACGAAGCCTATACAGCGACGCAGATTAAAGATCAATTTTGACAACATTTAGAAATTAGAATTTGGAAATTCAGGGAAAATGCTGTCTATCCCGCAGGAAATGTTCACGCGTAGTGATGCTGTATGAAAATCATTTGGAAATTGAGTTGCTTATTCGCTGAAGTACGACATGTAAATCTTGCACGCACATCAAATTAGGCAATGGCAATTACGTAGGTAAAATTACAGTGAAGTGGATTTGAACCATCGCGTTTTATTTATGGAAGCACAAATGAAGTCGATTAAAAAGTAACTGAATGCTTGTTGGATAATTGGATTAGCAGTAGAGTTGGTTTAATAAGCCGCAATGAGGTTAATGGGAATTTTTTTTGATAAATCCCATTTCGTTTACATAAACATGTAAACTTCAGACGTGTTTTGTTTACATGTACCTACGTAAAATAAATCCAGGGATAAAGTAAAATGTCAAACTGTGTTGGAAATCCTCAATTGCGGTCGTACCAATTTTGATACGGATGTATTCTGAAAATGTAGGTCATTTCCCTAACATAGATAGATATTTATTAAAAATTAGTAATCGATTGTTCCATTGTCACAAACGTTCGCCATTCTAGTCTGATTACCATTACCTTTGCTCTCGACATTGAGGTGATAAAGCATGCAAACAAACTGTTAGTAGCCTTCAAATTTTCTTGACGTGTAAATGTGTAATTCTGTTGACGTAATTAGACCTCTAATTAGTAAACAAACGCGCATGTGTTCAAATTGTTTATAAAAATGAGTTTGCTTCCTCACGTAACAAAATTACATTATCCTTGGAATCCACGCCAGTTCTAATGTGTACTCGGTGGCACGCGAAACAAAATGCAAGAGGGCCGTTTTAAACGGGTGCTCAAAGTACAACAGTGTCTAAGCCGTTTAGGCAATAAGCTTAACCGTGAATTTTCTTTGTCAGCGCACGACCTGACCCTTAAAGACAAGCCCTTGGATTTACGTTACTCGTCGACGCCGGATATTGACAGATTATCATCAGCGGATGTGGAAGGCAGGTGACGACTTTATGGCGCATGGTGGTATCGACTTTACTAATGCTTGTTTTCTGGAAATAGTAAATGTGTGCCATCGGTCGCTTTTCATATCCACAAGGATGTGGCCGAAACAAGGGAAGATGGAGCGATCAATCTTCCTGATATTGTCATTGAAAATGCGGAGGAAATTGAGCTTAGGTACGCTAGAGGCAAATCCCCAAGCTCGCATCGGGATTTGTTGAAGATGTTTAAGGAGACCGGTGATAAAGTACAAAAGGTAAACCCGTTTATTATAAGCTTCTCTTCATTATTTCTATTCTGTTTCTTACGCGTTTTATATTAAAGGGCTTTCCTTTCAACTAAGCCATGTTTAGGTCAACTCATTTTACATAGCTTTAACGAAATTATATACGGAGCCAGGTTTTTCTATCCCTACCGGAAAAACAGTGCGCGTAACAACGCAGAAAACATTATAATTCAACTACAATTAACTGAGTGTACCAAATATTTAGCATGTCCCCATTTATACATATTTATATCAAGGTATATCGTACACCTAACGATTTGGTGTCATTAATTGACGAAAGTTATTCAAATTAATTGCAAATTAAGAGAATTTACACAATAGTCAACAATAAAAAAAAAATTAACAAAAGTTTACCGTTACGCAGTGCACGTAATTTGTTTCGACTCTTTATTAACGAGCTCCTAGCGAGTTTATAATTTTGCTGTGTCTGTCCGCCCGTCCGTCTGTTCGTTGGCGCGATATCTCGAATGGACCGATTACGATGAAATTTGGCAGAGGGATTCTTTATGAAATTTGTAGATCGCAGTTCGTAAATTCGCAATGTAGGTCAAAAAATAAGTATGAGCCAAACCTCGTAATAAATTAACCTAAAATTGAGAGAGTGGTTTCATGACTCTATCTTGAAAGCAACTGTCATGGTTGTGTTCAGGAAAAAGTAATCAATTCTTTCTGTGTCCCTCGGGTGCTCCGCTTTCTCTATAAATATATTTAGGACAATCATCATATTTATGATTGTTTTCTAAGGAATGCTTTTTTTGTTTCTGGGAGATTATACCACACACGATAATGAAAGCACAGATTACATTTCGTAATCCAAGCATCCATTTAGTGTGCAAATACATTGATATACACTGTCGGATATCCACGGGATATATTTGGGTTTTCATGGATATTCTGCTCTTGGGATCTCCACGAATGTCGTAGGAATTCCACCAAATCCATGATATTTCTTTCGTCATCCACGATTATATTTGAACTCTCTCTAGAAGTCTAGATGACCTACACGTTCGGGGATTAGAAAGCTCGAAATATTCATTGGTGATATACCAAGATATTAGCAAGGGCAAAATTGTACAAATTGGAAAACTTTCCAAAACTGTGCCATATAGGAAAAATTGTGAATGTAATTTCGATTCCTTATGATTTTTCGATATATTTTTATAAGAAATAAGATATTTTTCAAAAAATGAACTAAGCGATGTTTTGAAACTACGCAGTTGCCAAAATCTTAAATTTTTTAAAAATATCTAAAAAACCCAATGGTTTACTTATAATCAAACTTTATATCCCAGCAAATGTGTGTACCACAAAGGGGTAGTAATCAAGGATCAGTAGGGTGCGGTAATTAAGGTATGGTGGTTCGTCCATCTGTTATCTTTGTTTCCACGGCGTTCTGGTTTTGGACCATATAGTAGGAAAGTTAAAATGACAGCGCAGGAAGTAGTAGGTACATAAATATTTCGACATACCAAAAAGAGAAAGAACATTTCGCTGATGTTTTATGGAAATAGTGAGTTGCCAACTTTCCAAAAACGATACTACTAAAAGGTTTTCACCCTAAGCCGAGTAACTTTAGCGCATTTTTCATGCATTGATCACTATTTCACAAAAGGCCATAGGTGTGTGAACTATATTTTTCTTTACTATTTTATTATTATTTACTTTACGCATCTATGGTTAAAATTTCAAAAAAATATTATTAATAAATTGTGCAGTCTGCCCATGCGCACACCGTCACAATGTCAGTCAGTGTAATTATGCCACGAATAATAAGATTGTTTTAAAGCTTAATCAGAGATTAAAATCTGTTGCATAATCGACATAAGGGAATCTCTGCGAGTTGTTGTAAAGTTGTGCGAGGCACATTGCACCTTCAATGAATTGTGATTTTTAATTAGAAAATTAAGTTAATTGAAGAATTAAGGGGTTAAACTATGTTTACAAACCGCTCCTAATATATTAACATATATTATATATAATTATATATGCTCCCACTTACACTCGTCATTTGTAAATTACGCCAGTGCTTCTAGTGTTAACCGAATCGCGAATCGGCTTTAGTTTGTACACACTGTAACGTTTTGCTAATGAATATCTCTGTGTTTAGTTTTATGTAAATTAGTAAATGAGTTTTATTTATTCACTAGTTTACATCGCATAACCTTTCACATTAAACTGTAATTTCTGCAATGTGTTTAGTTTACTCACGGCTTGATTAAAGTTCCAACTGAATGTTCAAATGGTTATGAACGGTATAACAGTCGCTCTTCGCCCATTTATTGGCAAATTGAATTCACAATTAACAAATATTCATGAAATATTTCACAGTGAATCCGTCACTGAAAACAATCACACGATGTTTTTATATAAACAGATTTTAATCCCAAATGTTGCAAAGAACTAAATGGAATGGTAAAAATTGAAAACCAGGATATTTCTGCACAGTGTGGCACGATGAAAATGTGAACCGTTCCAAACTTTGAAATTATTAAACTCTGTGCTAATTCTATACAGCTTGTTCTCTCTCAGCGGCGCTTCAATTTCATTCCTATTAAAACTCCTCTCTAATTAAACTTTTTTTCGAAAAAAAAAACCAATTATAACTAGATGTCGCACCAAATCCACTTTATAATATCTACTTCAGTGTCTTTAGTTTTGTTATTTTTATTAAAATTGGAAAAGAAAAAAATATAGGTGTTCCTTTAAATCAATCCCAAAGTAGTGCCTAAATTCAGGTCAAATGCAAGTCCCCAATATGCATGTCGATGAACTTGAAGTCCACCTAGGTGAAATTCGCAACTCCTGTTATTTTTTTAGTGATACAGCGGTTTGATGGTTCCCTGAATCCCGAAATTCTTGGCCGGAGACCACTTGTCAAGCCGGGCTTAGCCGCGGTATCAATTTGCTTGCTTGCATTACGAGCCTTTGTTTTACTCCATATTTCAACGAAAAATACACTGCTTCCCAAAGATGCTGATATTGCTTTTAACGTGTGAAATATGGCGTCTATTTGCCGCCACGAAGGAACCGACCTATAATTAACTTCTCACCCTGAGTCTCGGTTGCTATCCCATTTAGCTAACAAGATCAGTTAAACTGGAGTTAGCATCATTCAAGATTTTTATCTTTATAGAGCTTTCGCATGTAAGAAAGGATGTAATTTAACTTTTCATACTCCGAACGCATTTTAGTTTACTGTTTACTTCCTAATTGTTAGCGTTACTTTACTATTAATAATTTAGATACGGATACATGCAATTACGAAATTAAGTTATTTTGATTTTGGGGCATTTACGATCGTAAATTGTTGGCAATTCTGAAACGGCAACCTATGGAACGGTCGAAATTTATAGCGGGCATTGTGTGTGTGTGTGCTGCATAATATTAATTTCACTCAAGATTAAATTGGTAGAAGATTGAATTTCTGATTTTACTTGCCATTTTAGAAGAATATTTCAAACCTTGGAAAAAAGGTGTACTCGACGTACTCGTCCACCACGCATTATTAAGGTGTGGATCGTTTAATCTTTATTGTAGTTATATATAGATAAAGTACCAAGCCTATTGTGCGCCTTGCGTTGCCTTGACGTGATGTTTTATTCACCAATTAGTTGCCCAATGCTAAAAAAACGCTCTAAATTAAAATTAAAGGCACATTTCCAATTAAATTAAATCACAGATAAAGCTCATCATTTGCCATTTGCAAGAGATGTGTAGCGGTTTAAATGTTGAAAAATGGACGAATAAAGCTTGAAGTACACTTGTCCGGACGGAATCAAGCCGGACCGGACGGTAAACATTCCGATGGAATGTTCAGTGTCACGAGCCCTGCAGCGGGCGAAGTTTCACTTCCATCGGTATTGGTGCCGGGTCATTCCTTAATCCCTGGATAAGCTGATCGAGTTGATTGGCGGTCATGGTGATTGCTGCCATCTTTCGTTCTTTTGTTTGGCTCCTTGTTATGGGGCTCGTCTTTGTAGAAGTCATTGTTGGCTGTTTTTACCCCTTCCGTATAGACTCGCTGTCTCACTAGAATCTGTTGAGGATAAGCACGAGTAGGTCGCCTGTTCAGGCCCCACTTGATGCGAATATAATTATTTTATTCTGAAGTAAGTACCCTCGATTACAAATAAGTATTTAACTTTTTTTAAATAATTTAACAGTAATTAGTTTAATTACAAATGCCCATTCGGCATGAGGCCACTTCAGTAATGTTTCAAAAATACGTGGCAATAATTTAGCATCCTCGCTTTTATTTGATTCGTAGAGCGGGATTTAAGCAACGAATAAAGATGTCCGTCTGCGTTAACAACTCGCCATTTTGTAGGTGGTCATTGATTAAGTAAGGGGGGCCATTCCGGGAAGTTTGGGATTAATTTGCGTTTTAGAAACCGAGGCGACCAATGTGTGAACCATGTTCATTTAGAACAGATTCCCACGTCTGCCAAAATTTAGGATCTAAAAACAACCATGAAAAAAAATAAGCTAAGGGTAATTTTGATTCGAAGTAACAGTAAGAAAGTATAACGCTAGGTAGAACACATTGTTGACAAGGTTATCATACTCTGGATTTCCTGCATACTTTATAGTTGTGATAGGTTATTAAGGAAGGAAGTCTGTGATATAAATAGCATATAGGTAGTTCTTACAATAAAAATCCGTTAGCATTACAAACTGTTGGTGTGATACCCGGTTGTATTAGAAGATAATCCCCGACTAAATTTTACGTTCTCGTAAGTTTGCTTGGGTGTTCGTTAGGATTTACAACCCTAGCGTAACATCCTTAATTTTTTTTTCAAATTGATTCGCGTTTGAAAACAGAAGTATTCAACGGTGTCAATCGCAATTACGTGTTGTTTTAAAATTCGAGACTTGGTGCCAAAGCAGGCAGGCGTATTTCGCAAGAAAGATTTTTTCGGATAAAATTTGTTTCCGCGCCGCCAGCGTGATTTGTGACTAGAGATCAATTT